CAAATAAAAGGCGAAAAATTCACCGAAAATGACCACAGGTTAGGGTTAGGCAATTAGCATAATTAGCATTATTAGGATTAAATAGCATAATGGCCTATATGGACAATATTTCAGCAACTGCTTGGCTGATTTGGACAGTGTAGGTTTTGGGGGTTATTGAGGGGGTTATTGAGCATGCTGGCCTTTTTGTATTTTGAAAATGTCAAAAATGGATTCAGCATCCCCAATACCTTTACATTTCTAACATAAAACATTGGGGTACTCAACGTTTCCAGGTTCACAATGGGGCTCTATTGGCTGGCAATTAGACTACAAGTCTAACTAAAAACTGAATTATAAAAAATAACTCAAGTGCGTGACTTAAGTCTGACTCGAGTCTACAGTACAGTAACACAAAGCACCAAATAAATTGTGCCATTATTGCTGAGAGCGCAGCTATTGCCCTCAGTCATGGCTGCCTCATGAGTTATTTATTTTTTCTCTTACAGTGGGAAGGCTCCTCTGACTCAAATGTAGTAGGATGATGCTCACGAGGCTGATTGAGTCAGCAGAAGCCTCCCTATTGTGTAGTTGTGGATGACAAAGAGACAGGCCGGGAGTTCATCTTAAACCTCAATTTATCCTTCATTTCCAAAAGGCCTGACTTTTGAGTCAAGTTGAGTGTAACACAGAACAAAGACTGCAACCAGCTCTGTAGTGATAACCTGAGATGACGGTGCTGAATGTGTCCATCACTGCTGCTGTGTGGGTGATTCTTCTGTTCTGTCATGAGTGGTTATGGCTCATATGTCAGTTTGCTTCTGGACGCTATGTTCCAAGTATTCAAACATGTTTCATCCACACTCAGAATGGTACAGAACAGACTAGAATTTGGAGTCAGGGTCACTGTAAAACAGTTTTTCTCAAGATAACATGATCACAAATCATGATCTTGGTTGCTGATGGAGAGCGGTGCTTTAAAGGACCATTGTGTAGGAGCCTCAGGTCAATCGTGAACCCTTAACTGAGTCGAGACAAATCCATGTCAAGTTTCAAGTCAGTCAATGCCTGGTCTAAAGTCTGCTGAGACAAGTCAAAGTCAAGACTGAATTGAGTCCACGTCAAGTCAAAAGTCAGTTGAGACAATCTATCTAAGTAACAAGTCATCTGTCAGTTGCAACGCTTTTAGGTACGTCTGAATGGTTATTGATTGACCATTCAGATTTATTCCTCTGCAGTTGGGTAGTCTAATTAAAGTGCTAGACATCACACTGGAAATACCATGGAACTGTGGCATGCACCGTTATCCACAACTGTGATTATAGTTATTCAATAATTGATGAAATACTGTATTGTAATTGCAGACAAACAATAAGGAGTAAGACTCTAAGTTTATTAACAAAAAGAACCATTAACAGCATCACAGTAGGGAATAAATAAATCTGCAGACATAAACCTATCACTCAATTTACAATAAATAATAAATGCAATTAAGGTAAATAAAGTAATTTAAGTGAGTGAGGGTTAGAGGCTGAGTTCGTCATGTTTCTTACGAGTAGGACGAGTGGTGCGGTGCATCAGCAGGAGTCCTTTTCCAGTCTTAGTTCATTGAAACATATTCATAACCTTGCACTACCATCTGGAATGGTTTCCTTTCCCACATCTGCGACTGAAGCTAACTGCTTCATGGAAATACATTCACAGGATCCAGCGTTTAGTTTTGAACATTTGTTAACTCTTGAAATTTTACATCATTTGCTGAATGATTAATTAACATGTCATTTATCAAGCAACAAGAGTCTGCAGCCTCGCTAGCAGCTCTGTGTGCCTCTACTAAAACAACTGAGCTAATGCTAACATTAGAAAGCTAACATAAAAAATGAAAATACTAACATGCTGATGTTTAGCAGGTATATTGTTTACCATGTTCATCATCTTGGTTTAGCATGCTAACACTTGCTAATTAGAACTTAAAAAGTACAGCTAAGGGTAAAAAAAAAATCACTTTACATTGCGATCAGATTCACGATTAGTAGGAATGATCAATTTTGCCTCACAATTTTTGTTTTCACTGAAAAACCAATCAAAAATCTAAATCATGATGCTGTGATGATGATTTGTTGGGGTCTATACCAAACCAACATATTTTTTATACATATGGAAAACAATATAGGTAACTAATAACTCTAGGTCGTCTCCACAGCACTACAGTGCTTCATTATCACACATTTTACCTGTCCTCAAAAACAGGTCGATCTACCTCTGGACTCCTGTTTCAACAGATTTAGAGAGGGGAGCACGATATCGCAAACAAGTTACTTTGTCATCACTATCTTGGATGAGCACCTTTTGCTGAAGCAACAAAGTCAGTTACTGATACTGATGTGATATCAGAACGTATCGCTCTGATATCTTGTAGGCAGGAATGAGTGGTAGCAGCTAGAAATATACTAAAAACATATTGTGTCGGTTTTCAAAAACACTGTATTGGTTTTTGTGATTGCACCGCTAACTGCTAGATAGCAGTGTTGTGAATATAAACTGAGGGCTGTGATGTTGGATGTTACAGGGACTTCTTACTCATATTATGTGCGGATTGTTTTCCTAAAATTAGATTTTAAAAATCGCACTATATCGAATCGCAACCCCTGTATCGTGATACGTATCATATCGCCAGATTCTTGCCAACACACAGCCCTAGTAACAGCATGGTTCTATGATTGTACTTGGTTTGGAAGCCTTACTGTTTCTCTCCTCTCTTGGTTCTTGCTGATGAAATGAGGTGAATCGCAGTGTAAAGGAAGCCATTCTAGACTAATTAGATGCACCACATCCTGAAACATCACAGTAGAAATGTACAATTATTGCAGTGAAGAAAGTGCTGCTTCAGTCACAGTACAACAACCGCAGGATAAATTAGACTAACAAGCACACACACACCCCCCATCCCCACATACTGAACAAATTACACAATGGCAATAATCAACACTGCCTCACCCAGCCTGTCTACACATAGCTTTATATCTGTATGTGATTTCAAACACAACAGAGACATCCTTCACGTCCTTCACTCCTCCTCCTTTATCCTGTTGGTCAGTGGCGTTGGGTGGACAGTGTCGTGTGAATCGGGGGGGTCGTAGGGCCCGTTGCTGGTGTTAGTACGAGGACCCCCGTCTGGAAGAAGTAAAGCTGAAAGAAAAGAGAAACAAATGAACGACTGGGTCCAGGTTCAGTGCGTATAGATGACATGACGCCACATCCACGGAGCTCACTAACCTTACAGCCGATAGCCAGCAGCGTGTGCAAAACCACGATGGTCGCAACTGTAGCCACGGCCATCACCTTGGTGTCGTCACGGACAACGGGCCAGAAGGTGAGGACCAGGACTGAGCCAGAGATCGCCATGGCAACCAGGATCAGTGTCCAGCGCAACCACTCAAATGGAATGATCCACAAAACCTGGAGATGAACGGTTTACCCGCTGGTTAGTGATGACGCTAAATGTGTTTTGGTAATAAACTCTGTAAATCAAACTCTGGTGCAGTCTAAACCAGACCGAGATTGAAGAGGGGTCTGAGTCAGCATCTAGTGTGGTTCGTTTGTTTGTGGTGTGAAAGCAAATCAGGCCAACCACAGGATTTTGCGATATATATTATTTTGCCATGAACAGACCTTTTTCACAGCAGCCATTTTAGGTTAGGGTAACACCCGTGTTTACCCTACTATTTCATGTCTAAATGGCTGCTGGGAAAAAGGTCTACTGAAAAAATGAACTACTGTACTTTTTAATCCATCTGCTGATTGTGAATTGTTAAGAATGTGACCTCCCTTTCTGTATAAGCGATGTCTAGCCTAGTCTTCAACCAATGTAGGATCCTTTGGTAACACATATGCACATCACTACATTAGTGCAGGGATTTTTCATGGATGTATTATAAGAAATGGATACTGGGCTCAAAGATGGCGGTCAGTGACTTGAATGAAAATTGGCCCACTGCACATTAGTGTTTCTCCTACTGGCATTTACATTGGGATGACACAGATACACAAATACCATATCCAGGCTATGGGAAAGTTTAGTAAATATAAAAGCTTGTTTGCAGTTGCTAGTGTCCTGTCAACAGGTTTACTAAAAATGCTTTTTGTTTTTTTTTATTTGTTGCAATTCCTGTCTGTTCATTACAGTTAATATGTGAAATAATATAAAAAGCTTGGTTGCAATTTTGGTGGAGGTATCCATGGTACAGAATTTCAGGAGTGCTGCAGGGTTGACGTATTTTTGTAGGCCAACTCAGAAGTTAGCATCGCCACGGTTCCTTTGAAAAAAAGCCAAAGGGATCCCAGTTATCATGGGATCGTAGATGTTCAAATCGGTTATCTGGGCACTTAAAGGACGAATACTTCGTCTTCTATCTGCTGATGAAGTTTAGCAGAAGTCGACAAAGATGGAGGAACAGAAACGGTGGCAGAAAACAGACTGACTGTTTTTATGTTCTTTCATTTGCTGAGACAATGAAAGCAAGGAGAGGCTTTGCTAGGTCACAAAATATACTAATAAGACATTTGTGCCTGCATTTATCTCACTTTACTGATACAAACAACCCTGTTCTGATCACACTTTTTACCATGCTAGAAGGTTGTTGGGATAAAACAGACTGTTTTACCCCCCTGTATCTTTACACTGTAGTTGATGCCCTATACTGGGATCTCATTCTGACCCTGACATTCACTGGTAAACCTCAGGAGAGGGTGAGGGACTCACCGAGGTGGGGATATAGATGAAAAGGGAGTAGCCGTAGACGCACACAGTCTCCAGGAAGGAGTAGCCTCCAATCTGCCTCTCATTCCCTTGCCGCCAGGTCAGGAAACCCCATACCCCAATCGGCACCAGCCAGGCATACATGAAGATGACTACTGCAGCTATCGTCACTGTTGGTCAAAAGCAGGACAAAGAAACAGGGCAGACTGAGTGAAACTGAGTCAGACTGAATCTGGTTCATCAGAGGCCGCGAGGAGGACTGACCTCTGTGGAACTGTGGTCTGTAGTGGTAGGCAGGGTCTCCCATCTTACTGAGGAAGGTGGACAAGTTCCCACTGATCGCTACTGAGAAAACCAGCGTCACACAGATCCAGAATGGACCTGCACACACACACACACGCAAACAAATGTATATTATTAGACATGAAGGGTTTCAGTGACTTTCCTAACTTACCTACCCTACCTTCCAAACTGACCTTCAGCACCAAATGTCTACTGAAACAGTTTCTAATCTCACTCCAGCCTAAATCAGAGAGTTTACTCTGAAATGCTGTTTTTACCAAGCAGCCACCTCCGTGGCTGAATGATAAAGTGAATGTCAAAGTGCCAAAAACTCCAACGAGCACTTGAGGCTGGCACTGTTGTGATGTTCTCCATGTTTTCAGTAACCCGGCTTCATTCAGCCCCCCACAGCTCCACCTACACTAACAGTTTTCATTTCTTACTGACAGTATGCCAGTGTGCAGTTACAGTTAGAGTAAGACTTTAACAGATCTAATGAGCTACTGTTAAATGTTTTTTTTGTTACATTTTTCTAAATAAAAGACAAAAATGTTTTCCCTGCTGTACGGAAAATGTACCGCACCATGTCTGTGAAACCAATATACACACCATTACACCCCTAGAACGTGGCATGGTGTAACATCTGTGTAAACAAAACAGCTGACAGTTCAACAAGTGGCTTAACAGGACAGGCAGGCCTGATGACAAACACAACAGTAGACGGATGTATTGTACTGTATTATATTCCCCACAGTCTCTGTGTTTACATTCTTTCATTTGCTTTGTGATACAGAGCGAGGGAGTGTCCACACTTTTACAACTGCACTTACATCCAGGTAGCCTCCCTTTCGCCGTGCCTCATGGCTGCCGCTAACTCTGCTTCATTCACTCTGATAGAGAAAGGCTCACGCAGTGATGTCGTTGCTAGACTTGTTTTCATGCTGTCTTTCTTCTCAAAGATCTCCAGCAGCATCAAAAACATATCGGGTGGGATAACACGAGCAGCCCAAGCTGACCAATCACAGTTCTTCTTGTCTCCACTCTCAAGCTGCTGTACACCTGATGTGCAGGTCCATTTTTGAGGAGATGCACATCTCCTACATGTAAAACTACTAACTAAAAACGTCTTCATGAGGGTTCTTTAGACCCAGACAAAAGGAAGAATAAAAAAGTGATTCTCCACAGGCTTACCATACAGATCTGGGTTACTCCTAAGGTGGTGTTTGACAAAGTTTCTTCCAGGTAACGGCATTACCGACCCCTTAACTCGGTCCAGCACCTGTGTGACGTCATGGGGAGTCAAGCAAAAGAGAACGATAAAATATAGATTTATTTCTATAAGACTGGTTTATTATAAAGAGCGTATTTGTAGAGAGGGAGTGTCTCATACCTGCATTGTGTCCACATTGAAGAAAGACTGATAGTACTCAAAGGTCCAGAAGCCCCCAGTTGCTTTCTGTCCTCCTAACAGCTGGAAGCACACACATCTTTTAGCTGCTGTCCACTCAAAACATCCAGACTCTCAACCTGTCGTGGTGACATAAGTCAGCACAGATACTTTACACACCTCCGAGCTCTCCTCCTGGCCCTCCTCGTCCTCTGAAAGGTCTAGTTTCACGTCCTCTCCTCCTCCTCCTCCTCCTGCTGCTGCTGTGGCTTTAGTGGTGTTGTTTGAGGCAGACATACTGAGTGTGGCGGCCCCCGGGTCGGCAGACAGAAGCTCTGCTGCTTCCTCGAACTCTGCAGACGTTCGTCAAGAAACACGGAGAGTTAGTGACAGTAGCGGTGCTACAACGGGGGTTCTAATGCAGGGACCTGTACCACGAAGCTCAACTCAGTATGCCTCTCTCAGGGTTACATTGGTGATCCTGGGTAACTGGTATCTTTATTGCCTGTCACCTTACTGTAAAGTCCATCTTTATGTGACCAATCGATGAAATTACTGACTAATGGATAATGAAAATAAGCGTGGGTTACCATGGTGATCTAACCCGGTTACAAGTGAGCCCACTTCACGATACCAGAAATCCTTAGATGAACCCAAAGAGAGCTCAATAACCACTAATCTCACTTCGTCGTACAGACCCCTGATCAGGCTTTCCACAGATTTTCTACTGGCTGATCAGGCAGAAAAATTAACACACACACGACAACTCATATGATCTTTGTGTGGTGATGCAGTCGTAAACTTGGACTGTCTTCAACACTTTTTGAGTCAGCTACTAAACAAAGGCACTGTGATGAGGAGCTATTGTGAGAAAATGTGATCTAAAATACAAGCAATGAGCAAGTTTGAAAGCAGGTAGCGTAAATTTGGACATTTCTTGAATTCAAAAGGTTGCTCTACAGAGGCCAACCCATCAAATAAACATTAGATAGCACAGTTTTTGAACGTCACATGGTCAGCTAAGTGCCACTAGAGGTCGCTGTGTCTGAGGTGCTTCTCATCTGGCTTATTTCATGTATCCGTGCTCCTCAGCCTGGAAATCGATCTGGTCCGCCATGAAGGATGTCTCAGTTCAGCCCTTACTGTTCAGAGGAGCAAGGCCACCCTTTACTGAAGTCTTTTATGAGAAAAGCAGTTTACCTTTAATGTTAATCTGTTAGTGATAGGACATATTATTGGGCTGTTTTGAGACTGCATCACCACAACACAGCAGTTTTATACCAGGACAAATACATGTCAGGCGTCATATCACTCGCAATATTTAGGTTTCATTTGTTTTCTATTCACCAAACTGAAGCTCTGAAGGACCAAAAATAACTCATCATTCATCAGAAGGATTTGTCTTTTCATGATCTGTTATTTCCCCTTTCAACCCTTCTTATGGAGAAAACTACACGCTGAAAGAGCAGGAGAGTCTGTTGTTATTCAACAAGAAACACATTCTAATTATCTATCCACTTCATTTCCATTCAGTCACATGTCACACTGAAAAATCTTTGAAAAGCCTTGCCTGGTGCAGCTTCGCCATGTATCCATCAGTTTAGGAACGACAGACAGATAGAGGCATTCGAAATGAGGAGGGAATGAAAGAAGCAAAGCCAGGCAGGTGGAGGAGTAAAACAGAAGGGGTGAAGAGAAAACCAACAGACTCTGGAGCAGACACATGAATTTGAATGATGGTCTTACCTTGGAATTGTAGATCATCTGGACTGGCCATGGCTTCAGTGAACAGACAGCAACCTCATGCAAGAGCTAGGAGAAGAAGAACACTGAGGTGAGATGTGTCCGCACATTGAAGCTCCCTGCAGGCTGGGGACAACTCATACGTCACCTCTTTACCGATCAAACATCTGTTCATTTAGCAAGCAGCAAGCGAACCCATAAAGACGCTCTTTACAGTATACAGTTACACATACTGATCCAGTTACCACTGGGCCGTATCTCTGCAGTCCACCAGAAAAGCATAGATTAAAACCAACCTGAGCAGCAGATGTCCCTGATGGTGATGGCGTGAGAAAGCTGTGACAGCTCAGACAAGCTAGGCTAAATACACACTAGCGCCCTTGTTTCTCATTTGTTTGACGCTAACGTGAATATAGGACAGCAAAGCCCATGTAGGTTTAATAAACTGACAATAAATAATACTAATACACTGCTAACGCCTGTCTTTCACAGCTAGCGCAACTGCTGTCAGTCAGACCGTGTAGTTGGCATGTCTTCCGGTACACGTCACCACGTAAACAAAGATGTCACGTGAACCGTCTTCTTGCTAAAATGGGATTTGTCGATAAAATGTGACGTACTTTGTAACGCACAGTCCAACTTACATTAAAAGCACGGCAAAACTTTAATACTTTTACGTTTACGTTTGTTTCTAATACATAATCTGCTCATGTGACAGCCAACGGAACGTTCGCGAGGTGGAGCTTTCTGTCGGAAGATTAAAACCGATTCACCTTCCGGGCGCCATTTTGGCTCCATGTGAGCTGTCTTCTGTCACAAGCAGTATGTTTCTTCTGCGTGAAGGTGACCGTACTAGAGAATAAAATCTGTTAAAATGGCTTCGTTGCGTGTAGTGAGGAGGACGTTCTGTGCGGCGGCAGAAGCAGCAGCAGCAGCTCCCGCCGCAGGCAGCAGATGGGAGAGACTGAAAAACAGTAAAGCGGGTGAGAAACTGAGCACGACTCATTCACGACAGCTAGTTAGTGACAGTTGAGGTTACAGGGCACCACTAGCTAGCTTTTCACATACATAAACATTCAATATTTCTTTATCCTGCTGCCCTGAACACTGGTTATATAATATTTGTAGAAGGCAAACATAACGGAGATGCTGTCCCTTATCTTCATTACTGAAGAACCTACTGTATCATTGTAATCTGCAAATATTGGCTGACATTTGATGTTAATGGTTAGTTCCCATGCTAACTAAAATATATTAACTCATATACTGTTGTTATAAGTGACCATTCGTAGCTTGGCAAAATGTGCAGTTACCAATCCTGTCATGGCTACTTTCATAGCACTTAAAGCTGCAGTAGGTGACTTTTATAAACATATATATTTTGTCATATGCGCTTTAACTTTCACTATATCCTGACAGCCGTACATGAGACAGATAATCTGTGAAACAATCAGGTTCCTCCGGCTTCTCCTAGTGCTCCTAATGGCATTTGCGAGAATCTACCAGGCCTGAATGAAAACAACCAACCAGAGCAGAGAAAGACAGTTGATTGTTGAATCTCATTCCCAGGTTGTCAGATACTGATGCTGGAAATAAGACTCAACTATCTTCAAGCCACCAACCCGAAGCGTCTTTCTTTATATCTTTCTTGGCTCTGATTGGTTGTTTTTTTCGTTTAGGCCCGGTGGATTCTCGCAAATACCATTAGGAGCCCTAGAACGGGCCAGAGGAACCTGATTCTACAGATTATCTGTCTCGTGTTCTACTGTCAGGATATAGTGAAAGTTTCAGCAGATGTTACTACTGCAGCTTTAATAACCACAGCTGATACTGACTTAAAGGAACTGGTACTTGAGAGTTAATCTTGCATCAGCTAGCGTTAGCCAATAACCAATGTCTTAAACCCCCTCAGTGCCCAGTCCTTTTTCTGTCTTGCCAGCTCCATCAGAGGAGACACTGTAGTGCTCAGTTTGAGTGAAAACCTGAGGGTGTTTGGGTGTCATGTGAGTCCGGAGAAGTTCTCCTGGAAAATCTACACACGGCTGTCTGAAATTGCAAAACATTATATAAAACAAAGAAACAAGTGTCACCACTCACTTTAAAATGTATGTTGACACAGTACACTAAGGCTGTGTATTGGTGTTACAATATGATTCAATATATTGGGATACTGTGAGTATAAATCATCAATTAACAATCATCAATAATAATATACTATTATTATTATTATTATTATTATTATGTGCCTAAAATCTGAGTAAAAAATGTTTACTGTTTATGCAACCATAGCAATGGGATCTGCATTATATTTATCACAGTCCCTGTGACATCCAACATCACAGCCCTCTGTTTATTCTTACAACACTATTTAGAGGTTGGGGCTTTAAACATAAAAATTCATACAGTGTTCTGAGGAATAAATAGTATAACATATATACATTTTGTAATAAATATCTCAAAACTAAATATCGCGATACAATACTTTTTTATATTTTCTTACACCCTTACAATATACCTAAAAATATATAGTGTAGAATAGTGTTCACTAGATTAGCATAGCGGATATTTTCCACTTCTTTCTAAACTACACGAGAACTCTGAACCACATATTTCCTCATGTATGCATATAAAGAAATTAACTCCATTTACAAGGGAACTGTGGCAACAAAACAGTAGCAATATGCACTGGCAATAGACACTTCATCAATACCAATAATACAATAGTTCAATACAATATCAACAGTTTTACTTAAATGCATTAAATGCAAACTGCTATAAAAGCACATAACGAATACGCCGTGGCTCATAAACAGCAGTCATATCCCGAGGTCATCACATTAGCTGCTTCCACCATCTGGAGTATGCAACCTACATCTGTTACATCTCAAGAACCAATCCACAGGCAGTCCACGATGGCAGCCCCTGTGTGTGTGTGTGTGTGTGTGTGTGTGTGTGTGTGTGTCTGCGTTTGGCTCTAAGCGTCCTTTCCTGTGCTGCGTCCCTCCCTCTGTCTGTAGGTGCGTGGTGTCGCGGCCTGGTCTCTGACTACAAAGAGGCGTGTCGGGAGATATTTGTCGGTGCGTGGGAGCGACCGGTCAAAGCCTCCGTATACATGAGTCTGCTGGGCGGGGTCTGGGCCTGCTTCTACACAAGACCTGACGAGTCGTCCTTTGAAGCCGCCCTGCTGGACCGCTCCGGCCAGCTGGGCCTGCTGTCGCCGTGGATCCGCAACGCGACCTCCGACGCCCACGTGCAGAGCCTGGTGAAGCTTCGCAACGAGGGCCGGCTCCACCACGTAAGCCTGGGCCTTCTCTCTCTGGTTTACCGCGCAGACTACGACCCGGACACCTCGCTGTACGAGGCACAGTGCTCCAACCTGTCGGTGCCCTGGAGGGAGCTCCCTCAGCGGATTCTAGACGTGGGCTTCGTCGGCCACTGGTGGATCCTGGACTCCAAGATGAAGGACTATGATGTGAACGAGGACGAGTTCAAGCACCTGCCAGCACACATGCAGGGGACATCACCCCCCAGTGTTCAGGAGGTGGAGAGGAGCGAGAGGTTACATAAAGAGTCCTGGTTAGCACTGACCACGGAGGAGGAGGAGGAGAAAGAAACAAATGTAGTGGACATAAAGCAGGAGAGTGTCAGTGAAGAGAGCCCAGTAAAAGCACTGGAACAGGACCAGACTCAGGCCTGAGTGCTGTGTGGGTCACACCTTTCACATGCTGGACCAGGGTAGTTCTTCTCATTTTTCATGCAGTGTTGGATTCAACAAACATAACCACTTTTAGCTTTCATTTTTCAGTTATGAACTGTCTAAACTGCCACCACAAACCACCAAGGAAGCCACCTGTCTCGTCAAAGTAAAAGCAGCGCTTCAGAATTAGTTAGGTTTTAATTTATTCCAGCATGCTTTCTCTTTCACAGAAGGTATTACAAACCATATATACCATGAACCACACGTCAATAAACCTGTCAATTATCTCCAGATGTCTCACTGTTGCCTTATCTCACTTGACTCGCAGCTCCAATAACATATTTATACAGATCTTCAGCCTTTTACTTTTTAGGAATTCTAAGATGCAAACACAAGTTGGATATAAGTCTTTGATGCCCATTTCTCCTCTTCTTTTTTCTTTTTTACTTTCCTTTGAACAGCCTTGCTGTCTTCTGCTTAATTTAGTGTTTTCCCTCACTGCATTTTGCTCTATTTTCTGCACCTGTGGGTGTGAAAATATGTTAAATGTCTGCAGGATGGCAGCTGTGGGAAGAGGCCTCTCTGTTCTTTCACTGTGAGCAGCTGACACCAAAACCTGACATTTACCTCTGATGTTTCAAAGAACCAGAATGCTTTATAGCTGCACATCAACTTGAGTGTGTTTACATGGGCCATTAGTATTTCAGTTACAATCAGGTTTCTGGAGTATCTCAGTTATGTGTTAGACAATGTAAACATCTTGGTTTCTTAAGCAGAATACTGTTATTCACACCTTTATTCAGGTCGCTGTGTCATGTGGGCAGCTGCCTTCTTAGCTCGGGCAGTTAAACATCATTACCAACATTTAAGACTTCTCACTTTCATTACAGTGGGATCTAAGTAAGTCTAATCTAAAGTAAAATGTATTTATATAGAGCTTTTCACAGACATGAGTCACAAAGTGCTTTACAGATACATAATATAATCAAAAAATACACAGTAAATATATAAAATGCAGAGGTGGTGCATATAGGTTACCACAACGCCTGTCTATACCGGTATGTCTCTATATATATATATATCCCCTGTAACATTATATGAATGACATAATATTATGATATGTGACATTATTGTATTATTATTATAGCAACAGGTTAGGAATTTCAGATCATCATTTTTCAGACATATTTTGGACAATAGATTCAAAATATAATCTTTTTCTCAGTCCAGTTTTTCGTTTTCCATTTGCGGCTACAATGAAATACAATGGACATTAAGGACTCATTTTTTACATTTTTGTCCCCCGGTCCCACATAACATTCCTGCAAGTACAATAACAAAACTCATACTCAGCCCTACCTTCCTTACCATAGTGGTTGAGTCCGCCATCAAACAGAAGTACATGCAAAACAACAGCACTGTTCATGATTGGAAATGTATTGACAAAGCATGCAACGATGATGAATGCTTTAATGGTCCTATGGTGTCTTTACTTTAACTATGTCATTAATAATAGGGCATCAACCTTTCCAGATGACCCCTGTCAAATTCTACTTAATTTTCTCAATTTTTAAGAGCATCGTGAGGTCTTTGAGCCATAGAAACCATTTTGGGGGCAATGGTGCAAACTTCCACTCCAGCAATATTCTTCTACATGCTAACAAGGCAATACTGTCCTTTATTTTCCGCTAAATTATTTGATGGCCCGGTATTGCCAACACCATGTTTAAAACCTCACTATGGTGTTTGAAAATAGCTGTCCAGTAACCCTGTGGACGAGGACAAGACCAGATATGTGACAGCTATTGCAAGAGTCTGCAACACTGGAATCTATTTGAGTTAGTTTGGAGTTGGTAAATTAAGATGCGATGGAGAACCTTGAATTGCATTGGATTGAGCGTGGGACTCTAATTAATTAACCATTCCAGTCATTTTTTCTCACCTAAGAGACATTTTATAATTCACAGTTTAAATTATACAAGGACTTATATCAAATGCTTGCTACTACCGGATGTGCTACGATACAGTGTAAATCGGATATTTAACGTCAAATGAATGTCAAACGTATGGCTGCATGGTAACTGCAGGTACAGAATGTGACTTACCACCTTATTGTAGATTCATAAGTATCATGGTGACGCTGACCCCTTAGACATTAAAGCATAATGGGGTCAAAGGTGACTCATGATGTCACCGATCTGACTCGCTGGCAGCGGCTATCGGGTGTCACCTCGAGGAAGTCATAGGTCAGGGGCCAGCCTGCGGTTTTTAATAGTGAGCCCAGTTAGCTGCTGTTGGAGTTCTAAGCAGAAGTGGTGTTTTAGGATCCAGCCACCAGATGGCGCTCTCATGCAAAACAATTTATGAGCCCATCCCCAGCACGGTTCATTGTACCTGACATTTCTTAATGGCACAATTTCACTTCCCATAAGGCAGGATGGGTCCAGGATCTGGTCTGCATTAGATTCACTATCTGGAAATGGATCATTTGACAAACAAAATCACTTCAATGTCCCCTCAGTAGCTGTTCCAGGGATTTCAGTACATGCTATTCTTCAGCAGAAATTCAATTCGGTTTTTGCTTTTTTCTGAAAGCTTTAAAGGTAAAGTTTGACATTTTGGGAAAAACACTTTTTTAACAAGACTCTGGTAAGAAGATCCATACTGCTCACATGCCTGTATGCTAAATATGAAGCTAAAGTTAGCAGGCAGTTAGCCTAGCTTAACTGGAAACTGTGGGGAAACAGCTAGCCTGGCTCTGTCCAAAGGTAGGGTAGTCTGGAACATAACTCCCTTCCTACCGGCTTTAGAGACACTGGCATTTACAGCGCTGTCGATGTTCTCATCAAACTCTCGACAATAAAGCAAATAATCTTACTTCTCAAAATGTCAAACTTCTGTCCATGCTGGATTTAAAGTTGAGCATCATAGCTTCATTCTTGACCAGTCTCATCTTATAATTCTTTTAGTATCCTTTATACAATACAATATAGCTTATATAATGCGTAATGTTATGCTTATTTATTTATATTTGCAGTCAATTGTGACAACAAGCTATCTCGATGACAACTGACTGAGCAACTTCATTCACAAACGAAGACCATAAGCTATGGAAAAAAGCTAGAGGACCTTGGACGGCGAGATTATTTTGTCCAACCAGGACAAAGGACTGTGAATCTGGTCCCTTCTCTCACATTGGTGGTGATGATTACACCAGTGACTCTGTCGTCGTACTTACAGTTGTATGCAAAAGCTTGACAAAAAACCCATGTTGCTGATTTTTTTAATTGAAAAGATGTAAACACAGCCTCTCTAGGACACTGAACACAATATTAATAATAATATATATCTCAAATTGAACAAAACAAATTAACATCATTTTGGCATGTGCAAAAGTTTGGGCACCCTACACCGTCAATCCTTGGTAACACCCTTTCTGGCAGATATCACAGCTCCCAAATGCTATTTGTAGCCTGCTGAAAGTCTGTCTGTTCTCTAATTTGGGATTTTCCCCCTTTCTTCCTTGCAAAAGGCTTCTTAGTTTTGCAATATTATTGGGCCTTCTTGCATGCACAGCTCTTTCGAGATTTACCCACAGACTTTAAATGATGTCAGGGGACTGTGAGGGCCGTTCCAAAACCTTCAGCTTGTGTCTCTTGAGGTAGTCCATGGTGGATTTGGAGATATAGGGTCATTATCCTGTTGTAGAAGTTATCCTCCTGTGGAACTCCTCTGTAATCTAAAATAAATGATGTAAATTATATTTATCCTATTTGCTCAGTGGGGAGTGTCCCTTCCTCCAGCCAATGAAGTGTATTGAACCAAGTCAAATGGAGAAAACCGTTCATTAGTGTAAACTGGTCATTATTCCACTTTTCCTGCCACTGAACAACCATTATGCTGCTTATTATTATGTTCCTTTAGGCAGATTCATTAGGCTATCCACATTAGCTACAAGGCCCTCACTTTGCAACAGCGGCTGTAAACCAACCTACCTACTGAAACACCAAGACATTAAAACCACTGCTTAGCAGATGCAGATGGACTGTAGACTGTGGGCTACATATACACAGCGGTGCTTTGAACTAAATGCTTACATAAGCTGCACATGCTGACGTTTAGCAGGTATAATATTTGCCATATTAACTATCTTATTTTAGCATGTTAGCATGCTAACATTTGCTAATTCATGATAAACACAAAGTGGAGTTGAGGTGGATGGAAATGTCATTGGTTTTGCAAGGTCATGGGATAAATTGAAATTTTGACCCAAATGATGGTCTGGATGAGAAGTCAAAGGTAGAGGTCTTCACAAGTCCACCTGAACCCTAGGACCCGAGACCTGATCCGGATTTTGAGCCATGTTCAATCCAGTCAATTACATCCTGTTCCTGTTCTATTTCTGCAGGTCCTCTATAGACGGGTCCGGTTCGGTTCAGGGTTGTAGATTGTATTGTTGTATTGTGTATATATACTTGTTGGGTTCTGGCACAAATGTTTGGACCTGTCAATACCTCTGAGAATCATCATAATGATTACAAATGATCCTGCAAGGAACATGAATGTCTATACTAAATTGCATGGCAAATACTTCTTGATTTTACAAAAAAACTAAAATGGGACCTCCTGGTGGCGTAAGACGAGAAGTCAAAGAATCACCAGAGTCAGCAGGATTCATCCTCTGGGCACCATTAGAGAGTTTAATTGGCTATTAACACAGTTAAGATATAGCTTGTTGGGACGGCAAAGTGGTGGATTTGAATGACGCGACGCAACTATCCTGTCCGCTAGAGCGGCACGCTTGCTAGCATGGTAGAAAAGCATTATGGACTCTAATGGACATTTAGCATTGATGTTCGTTGAAATATGAAAACACAAGATAACCATCTGCCTCATTATCGACTCCAGTATATATTTTAGCTTGTATTTTACTGTATCTACAACAGCAATTTGATGATTAAGTAAGCAGAAATGTACAAAAAGCTGCAAATACGGCATCATTGCTTTGTCTCTGTCGCCTTCCTCTTGTGTTGCATCCTTTCACGCTTCCTCTGTGTGCATCTCCCTCCATCTTTGCCTTATGACCTCTATCGACCCCTGCGCTTCCATCCATCCTGCCCCCTTCCTCCACACAGACAGCGAGTCTGTAGGCCACAGGGGTCAGCGAGGGCAGTCACTGTCAGGTGGTGTTTGAAAAACACAAAGCTTTTTTTCTTGCGGCGCAGAAGACAAGACTGGTGAGGTAAGGAACATCACCTGACCATCTTCAAAGAATAATCTGCAACACTTTT